CGCGATTTTGAGAAGTTTTTAAACACTTTTTTTTTTTTTTCCCTTAAGCGCTTTTCCCTCGGTCTTAACCAGCTGCAGGATGAAGGGGGCAGCAAATTCCCTGCATCCAGCGTTTTCCCTCGAGGAGCTTTGCTGGATTCCTGCTGAATGTTTCACTTGATGCAAGCAGGGAGCTCTTCCATCAGCTGGAAGCCTCCCTGGCATTATCCTCACCCGACCCGGGCCCTGGGCTCAGCATTCCTGGGCTGAGCTCTCCTGTTGCTCCATGCCCTGCCCAGCAGACACTCACACATTCCTTCCCCTGGCCAAGCTCCTTCCAGCTTCCTGCCAGGCTGGGATGGCTCTGGGAAGCTTTTCTGGGAAGCTTTTCTCCCCTGATGTCCCTGAGCCAGGTGAGTCCAGCTGGATCCACCCTCTGCTGCTGCTCAGGATGCTGATTCCAAGTGCAGGGTTTCTCCCTCTTTCCCAAGCATTCCTGGTGCTGGAAGGGACTTTAAATCCCACCCAGTTCCACCCCCTGGAAGCCCAGAGTGGTTTGGGTGGGAAGAGACCTTAAAATGTCATTCCAGCCCCTTCCACACCTTCCACCAGCCCAGGTTGCTCCAACCTGGCCTTGGACACTTCCAGGGATGGGGCAGCCACAGCTTCTCTGGGAATTCCATCCCAGAGACCTCCCCACCTCCACAGGGAAGAATTCCTTCCATATATCCAATCCATTCCCTTTAATGCTGGTGCCCAGCCCAGTGCAAGCTCCCTTCCCAAGAAAAGGTGAGGAATTGCTGCCAGCAGCTGGAACTTGGAGCAAAACCTGCTTTTCCCGGGGTTGGGAACATGGATTTGGGCTCTGAGCAGGAAGCAGGAATTCCCTGGCGTGGGTAAATCGTGTTTGGGAAGCGATGGAAAGGCTGGGAGAAGTCTGAGGGTCCTGTTCTTGCAGGGTTTGGGGTTGCATTGCTGGAAATGTGCATTTGGCCCTGGAGGTTTTAAACATAATTAACAGAATTAAGGTGAGATCGGTGTGCAGGACTAACCCCAAAGGGTGTTGATAGACAGCAGCCTTGGGCTAGGCTAGAAAATCCCATAAAAATAGGAACACACTGGAAGAAATGGGGATATTCCTTCCAAAGTTACCTTTTGGGAACATTGTGCAAAATTGGGGCAGAAGACAAAATTTCAAGATCTTCTCTGTAACAGAGATCCCAAACCTGCTGTTTTCCTGTTATTCTCACACTCACAGCAAATGGAAGTTCTCTGGGAAGAACCCAGGAAAGCATTAATATTCCTGATCCTCAATGTGATTCTCAATATTTGTTCTCTAGGAAGATGCTGGGAAAACATTAATATTCCTAATCCTCAGCATTTGTCCTCTGGGAAGAACCTGGGGAAAATTAATATTCCCAATCCTCAGTATAATCCTAAATAGTTGTTCTCTGGGAAGAACCTGGGAAACCATTAATTTTCCTAATCCTCAATATTTGATTTCCTAATCCTCAATATTTCTTCCTAGGAAGAACCTAGGGAAACATTGATATTCCTAATCCTCAATATTTGTTCTCCAGGAAGATGCTGGGAAAACGTTAATTAATATTCCTAATCCTCAATATTTGTTCTCTGGGAAAACCTTAATATTCCTAATTCTCAATATAATCCTAAACATTTGTTCTCTGGGAAGAACCTGGGGAAAATTAATATTCCTAATCCTCGGTATAACCCTAAATATTTGTTCTCTGGGAAGATGCTGGGAAAACACGAATATTCCTAATCCTCATTATTTGTCCTCCGGGAAGAATTTGGGGAAAATTAATATTCCTAATGCCCAGTATAATCCTAAATATTTGTTCTCCGGGAAGAACCTGGGCATAAAGAACATTAATATCAATATTCCCAACTCTCTTTCCGGGCGGCTCCGCCTGGCTCTGCCCCCCCATCCCCGCTCTCTCCCTCTCCCGGCGCTCGGATTTCAGGATTTCGCGATTCCAGCGCTGGAGCGGCCGGAGAGGGGCCGGCTCTTGGGAGGGGTTTGCTCCAGTAACTCCGCTCAAATTGGCCAGGAAGCGGCAGCTCCTCGCAGCATTTTTCCCCGGCTGCGGGATATTTTCCAGCGCCGAGGGGACCCCTGAGCCCGGCTGGGAGAACTCCATGCAGCAGGACGGGGCAGAGGTTCCCCCCAGCACAGCCGACCACTAATTCCCAGGTAAATCCAGCCCTTGGAGCCGCAACTCGCTGCTATTTCCACAGATGATTAATTTGAACACCTCTAACTCTCTCGCTCCGGGGCTGAAAGTTTGATTTCCCTTCTTTATTTTTTTTCTTTCTGAGGGGAAAAAAAAAAACAAAACAGATATTTCTCCTAATTCCCGTCCCCTGAGAGTGGATTTGGCAGGGGTGGGATGGCACAGAAACTCGGCGTCGCTTTTTAAACACGTTGTGGTTTTTCTCCCCCTTTTTTTTTTTTTTTTTTTTAATTTTATCCGAACGTGCAAACCGCCTGCAAGTCCAGGCAGTGCGTTTTTCTGCAGCATTTCCCCCAAACACGCCGAATTTCGAGCAGAGAGCTCCAGCGCATGCCATCACCATTGTGTAAATGTTACCCGGCTAAGCCGGGCAGGCAGTTTGAATTCTCCTCTCTCAACAACTCCGCTCTTGCCGAGGAGAGGAAAAAAAAAAAGCTCCAGCGCAGATGTTTCCCATTGGCAGAAGGTGCAAAATGTGTCCTTAATTAAGGAACTTCTCCGCTGTCATGGCTCGGGATTCGCGGCCCCTCGCGAAGCAGCTCTCAGGCTCCCAGTAGCTTTTATTTTTTTTTTTTAAAAAAAAGGTGTTTTCTGGTGCGGTAGTTTCCAGGAGAGCTCCGGGATGTGCCGGGGTATCCACCTGGAAAGCTGCACCACAGAAATGTTCCACCCAGCCCAGGCTGGGTCCTGCTCCCTCCCGAACAACTCCTGCTTTCTCTCAGACGGATTTCTGTCGTTTAATTCGACGGATGTTGCTCCGTGCAGATAAAAAAGAGATCCAAAGATAGTTTAGAGCACTACAGAGAAAGCTCTTAGCTCAGAAACGTGGGAGTGCAGCAGGAAAACTGTTTATCCTCCCTGGAATCAGCTCTTGGAGATGCCACTGCGGGGCTCTCACACGTGTCCTGGACACAGGCTGGAAAAAAAATCGCTTTTAGGCTTTTCCCTCCCCGGTTTTGCTCTGGATCGAACCACCCACAGAGGTGGAATTTCTTTGGTTGGAAGGTAGAGAGCAGTTAAAGGACATTAATTGGAATATAAGCCTGACTTGAGACACCCCCCCTGCCTGTGGGGTGCCGGGTGTTGCTGCAGGAGGGAATTCCGGGTGTTCCAAGGGCGGGGTGGGGTTGGGAAGCACCCCCAAAAAGGGGTTTAATATTAATTACGTGGTGTTTAATATTAATTATGTGGTGTTTAGTACTCCAGTCAGGTGGTGATGAGGCTCAAAATTGCTCCCCAGTCAAACCCAGGGAGAGCTTTGGGAGTTCAGGGATGAGAACTTTTAGGGAAAAGAACTTCGGGGAGTTTTAGCAGCTTGGAAAAGCCCCCAGGGCTGAAGAGCTTTGGTGATGCAGCAGAGGACGATGCCTTTGCCTTCAGCAGGGGGATTTAATGGAGAATCCATGCATTTCGCTGGAAGTTCTGTCCTTTTCCAAGGTAAGAAACCCCAAAACGCCTCCCTAGCAATGAGCTCTGGGTTTTTTATCCACAGTTTGACCCCCAAGTTCATTGTCTTTACAGCACCAGCAACTCCCCTCCTGTTTCTGTTTCTTGCTTTCATTCTTATTTTAACCTTTCCTTCTTTCTCCTCCTGAACGGTTCCACACCATCCCTGGTGCGGTTTAAAACCAGAGCTCCCGGGATCGGGGTGGTTTGGGATGATTTGCCAGCCCGGTGGGTTTGCGGAGCCCTCTCTGAGATGCTCCGGGGGGGCCACGTGTGGCTGCAGAGCCCGCGTTTGCCGCGACCCGTCTGCAAAAAAAACAACCCCCCGAGGAGGAAAAGTCCCGCTCCCGATCCCCGGTGATGCCAGCGGGAGCTTGTTATTCCAAGGGATGTCCCGCAGGAATAACAACGGCGCTGGTTTGGAGTCGATCTGTCCCACCGGGGGATTAGGGGGCATTAATTAAGACAGCAACCCCCAGGGGGTGAGGAATGATCTCCTCCTCCTCCTCCTCCTCGGGGGATGTCCGGATCCACCTGCAAAACTTGGGATGTTGGGATCGAAACCCGAGGGAGTTCAGACCATTCCAGGGAAAGATCCTGGTTTAGAAATCTGGGAGTGTAGTAGGAAAACTCTTTATCATCTCTATAAGGATATATTTATCCCCAGAAGGATGCATTTATTTCTATAAGGTTATATTTATCTCTCTAAGGATATATTTATCTCTCTAAGGATATATTTATCTCTCTAAGGATATATTTATCTCGATAAGGGTATATTTATCTCTCTAAGGATACTTGGGAGGATATTTGGGAGTTGCTGATGCTCCTCAAACTTGGATCATGGAGATGTTTTCCTGGTTCTGTGAGTGTGTGTCAGCTGTGGCACCTTTTTGTGGGGTCTTTCTTAATGAACTAATTCTGTATGTCGTGAACTAATTGTGTGTTTGATGGAAAGAGAATTGAATCATATATATATATGTGTGTATATATATGTATAGGTGATTGTACCAAGTACAGATTGCTTGGTCATCATAATTGCATTTTAATTAAAGAATTTATACTGCTCAGATAAAAAAAAAAAATCATTTTTTCTGTTTAAATTGTCCAATTTGGGAATTGGAGAATCCCAGACTGGTTTGGGTTGGAAGGGACCTTAAAGGTCATCTTATTCCACCCCCTGCCATGGGCAGGGACACCTTCCACTGTCCCAGGTTGTTCCAACCTGGCCTTGGACACTTCCAGGGGCAGCCACAGCTTCTCTGGGAATTCCTTCCCAGCCCCTCTCCACCCTCCCAGGGAGGAATTTCTTCCATACATCCAACCTAAATTTCCCTTCTTTCAGTTTGAACCCACTCCCCTCTGTCCTGTAACTCCGGTTCCTGATGAACTGGGTGAGTTCTGGTTCCTGGAGGGAACAGCTCCAGGTCCTTGGAGCAGCAGCTGGAGCCTGGAAGTTGTCAGGATCCACATCCCTCCTCATCTCCCTTCTCCCACAGATTTATTGTATCTGGTCCTTTAGGCCTTAGTTTTTTTGAGGGGATTTTAATCCAGGGGGATTTAATCCTTGGAAGCGGCACCCCCGGCAGGGCTGAGCCTCTTGGAACGATGGGAGAAGGTATCCAAGCTCTTACCCAAGAGAGTGGTGAGGTCTTCATTCATCCCAGTGATCCTGGAGAGCTTCCCAGCGGGAATTGCCCTTGTGCTGGTGGAGAACTGCTCCCATGGAAGGGGGAAATCCCGTTCCCATGCCAGGCCGTGCCCGCTGCCTGCCCCGGGAACGAGCTTTGGGCACTGGAGTGTGGAGCTGGGAATGCAGGGTGTGGGATTCCCAGCCTCAAGTGGCTGAACACCAACTGTCTGCTGCTCCTGGCCCCGGGCCAGAGGGATAATTGTCCCATCCTCCGAGGCATTCCTGGATCTCCAGGCACAAAGGACTCCCAGCCACCGCTCCAGCCCAGCCCTTTGTTGTCTGGGTGAGGATGTTGCTGGTTCTGTCTGAGCTGCTCTATTGTTTGGGGGCTCTGGGGAAGCTAAAAAGGGGTTTTTTTTCTCTGTAGGATCCAGATTTTCATTGAGGAGGTGATGAATGGACTCTTTAGTTTCACCTGGTGGAGTCCCTGGAGAAGGAAAAGCTCGGGATTATGAGCTTTTGGGGGCTTTTAAAAAGAGGGAGAGGGACTTTTTATATGGGCAGAGAGTGGCAGGACAAGGGGAAATGGCTTCCCACTGCCAGAGGGCAGGGTTGGATGTGATATTGGGAAGGAATGGAATTCCCAGAGCATCTGTGGCTGCCCCATCCCTGGAAGTGTCCAAGGCCAGGTTGGAGCACCCTGGGCTAGTGGAAGGTGTCCCTGCCCGTGGCAGGGGTGGCACTGGGTGGGCTTTGAGGTCCTTTCCAACCCAAACCAGTCCAGGATTGTGCTGATCCTGTTCTGAACTGAACCTGTTGTTGTTCCCTGCTCAGCCTTGCTCTGTTCCCTTCCAGAGTCCCACAAAGGGCTGAGTCAGCATCCATCAGGAACATGCCCCAAAGCCTTAAATGACACGTTAATGTGGTGCTGGAGTGTCATCTGATAGCCTGAAATCCAGGATGGAGAGCCAGGAGACCTGGAGTATTTCCTGGCTTCTCCACTGCCTTTATTCCATAGAGTTTTTAATGTTGTGTCTTGGATTCTTCTGAATGGAGAGACCAAAATATAGAATCTGACGTCATTGATAAATCTGGAGGTTATTAGAGGGTGTGAGGGGAGGACTGAGCCCTACAATAAAGGGAAAATCCAGCCCAAACCAAACCTCCTTCAATTTAAAACCTGGATTTGTCCTTGGGGAGTTCAGCAGGGGCAGCTTTGAGACTTGGGGAGGGGGGGAAATGTTTGCAAACCTTGGTCACAGCAGCGGGGCAGTGGGTTTGCTGAAATATTTTCCGTGTTAAGTTTTGTTCTTGTGGCTCCTCTGATGCCTCCAGAAGTGTGTGTGTGCCCTCCCCTGCTCTTGAAATGCTCCAAGTGAGTCTGGGGTTGAATTACCAGCCTTGCAGCTCAAGAGCAATGATGGTTTTGTTTGATGCTGGTGCTGTAAAACACTTGGAGCTGAGGAGGGAGATTTGAGGAGGAGCCAGGGGGGAATAGATCCCGGATTTGCTCGGCTGTTGTGCCGTGGAGTGAAAGAAGTGGTGTAAAATCTGCTTTATCAGTGCTCTGGACCAGTTCTGTGTTCCTGCTGGGTCTGGGATCTCAGGGAGAACTGGCCTGGATGGTTTGGATCACAGAGCCTTGGAATGGTTTGGGTGGGAAGGGACCTTAAAGCTGCCACAGGCAGGGACACCTCCCACTGTCCCAGGTTGCTCCAAGCCCCATCCAGCCTGGCCTTGGACACTTCCAGGGATGGGAAGCCCACAGCCAGGAGATGCCCAAGCCTCTCCCATGCCAGAACTCCCAGTTGTCCCTCCTGCCCCATCCTGAGATCCCCTTTCAGGGCTGCAGCCCTGGGAGGCTCCCCTGGGTGCTGCTGAAGTGTCCCCTTTGTACCTGGGCTGCTGCTCCTCGTGGAAACACCAGAACATTCCTGTGCCCAAATTCCTCCGGATTCAGCTTTTCCTGACAACGTGTGAATGGTCCCTCTTGAGCACCTCTACAACCAGGAGCTGTGGGAATGGAAGGTTTTATTTCTGGGCAGACACTGTGAAGGCTTTGTCTGCTGGGCAGGGACAGTTTGGAAGCAGATGGAGACATGACCTGCAGGAAAAGCTGTCGGTGGTGGCTCCACACACAGAATGGCTGTGTTGTCTCCTGAAGCGTTCCTGCTGCCCTGATCTCCTCCAGGAAATCAGGGAATTCCTCCAGGATGCACTTTTGCAGGTGGAAAAGGATTTGTGAGTGGGTCTGCAGTGCCTCCCCCTGCAGGAGCCCCTCCTGGTCCCACCCAGGATGGGACAGGATGCTGTGGGACCCCAGCTCCGGGTCTGTGTGCCCCTGGTGAAGGTTTGGGAATGTGCTTGTTCCCACAGGCTTCTTAAAATTCCTTTTTGCTGCTCGCCCTTCCCTCTCTGCAGCAGGGAATCTTACCCTCCCTCCCCTGTGCTGAATGGGGGGCTTTCTTAGTCCCACCCTTGTGGGTCCCTTCCAGCTCAGGATATTCCACCATCCCCAAGTCCCTAAGATTTTAGGGAACAAAAGCAAACCCTCCTGCAGTTTCCTTTTTGGAGCCTGACTCGGCCAGGCTTTGCCAAGAGAGGGAGAATTACCCCCACAATATCTGCTACGACCTCAATTAGCGTCTCCCCGACTAATCTGGGGATCAATTAAAACAACCTGGAAGTCTGCTGTGACCTTCCCCTCCCTTCCAGCTGCTCCTGGAGCACGGGATCTCCCCGTGCTGGGGCTTTTGGGAAGGCTCTGGCCCCTGGCAGTGCTCTGTTAATTAACACTGGAGGGAGCACAGCTCTCAGCTGGGAACCATCCCATCCCTCCCCGAAAGGTTTCCCCAAATTGTTGTGTCTCTTGGCTCGAGTCCTGGAGTGAAAGGGCTCTGGAGAGCTTTGCTTTGAGCAGGAGGAGCCCTGCAAAGTGGAGGTCACAGCCTTTGGAGCTGCTCCTTGGCCCCCCTGATCCCGAGGGACCCCCTCACCCGGGGCTGGCACCGGGCACTGTTTGCCTTGGCACCCCAGCTGGGTGAGACCTGCTGCTTTATGTGCTGCTTGTTCCTCCTTTTCCCCTCTAAAATATTCTGCTTTGGTTTGCTTTGAGCTTTCTGGAGGCTCATAAACAAAACAAAACCGTGACCCAGAGGGGAATTTGGCGTGTTCTGTTGATGAGGTCAGTGTGTCACCTTATCTCTGGAGAGCCTTCAGGACTGACTGGGAGGTCACTCACCACTGTTAGCTGCCCTTTTTCTTCCCAAATATCCTTCATGGGGCTGCAGGACCATCCAGCTGCTTCAGAAAGTCCCAGAAATATAAATACAAATATATATAAACAGAGCTCTGTGCTCTTATGCCACGTGGGACAAGCCTGGGAAAGCTTTATGATGACTTATTTAGGAACCCAACTGTGAGTTTGCAGCTAAACCAGGGCCCTGCTACTCCTCACCTCAGTTTTTTGGGGGGAGAGGCTGTGGCAGCCCAGCTCAGCTTTTGATCAGTGTTGTTACAGATGCTGGTTGTGCAGTAGCAAGAAACAACAGCCACAGCAGATGAAGCAGATCCAAACAGATGTTTTAAGGGTGAAAACCGAAAAGCAGCTTTTCCTGAGGAGCACGAGGCTTGTGGTTGTGCTGGGCTGGCAGCTGAACACCTCCCCTTTGGGATTTTCCCCCACAAGTAACGTGTGTCCTGATCTGAGGGGATCACTGGAGTTTTTGGTACATCCATGACAATCTCTCTGCCCGCCTGTGTTTATCCCCTGGGCTAGAAAACCATCTTGTATCCATGAAAAACGTCGGGAGAGGTTTGTTTGGAAGCCAGTGCTGGTGGGGATTGAAGTCAGGGGTGTGTGCCTGGTGCTGAAGTGCCTGTTGTTCCACGGGACACACGGATCCTGCCCTGCCAACTGCATTTCCTTTGGGAAAGCCCCTCTGTTTGCTGCTGGAGGGAATATCAGCTGTATTTCCTTCCTCTCTCCCCCTCCAGCTCCCTCTGACGTGGGGGCAGGACTTGATTTTATTCCCCTCTCTCAGCCTCACCTCCTCACCTACAAAAAAACAATTGGGGCTCCTCTGCACCAAAGGTTTATTTTCCAAGAACATTTTGCTGCATCTTCTCCCCCTCTCCCACCCTCATCCTGATTTATCAGACCTGTTGTAAAGTCTCCTCTTGCTTTTCCTGCTGGATTTTTAACCCACGTGCTTCCAGTTAATCCACCTATTCCTTGGGCAGATGCCTTTCATTCCCAGAGAATTCCAGCCCCGTTTAACACACGGGGGAAACTGAGGCACAGCCCTGGATGTGACCTGCCTGGGGTCGGTGTTGGAGCTGAGGTTTGGACTAATGGCTCTGGAATTACGGGCTGCTTGCCTGGGATTTCTGATCCACCTCCTCACCAAGGGCTGGTTAATGTATTTTGTCGGGTCTTTGTGTGAGGATGTGACTTCCTGGTGGGTTTTTTTTTAGGGACAGCTCAGATCTAGCAGTGGGTTTGAGTTTCTAGACATCTGGTTCTGGAGCCAAGTCCTCCCCCTCTCCTCCATCCCCCCATTGGTGGTTGCCAGGAAATAATGGAGCTTTTAAAGGTCTGGGGAGGCTTTTCCCACTGTGCTCTGGCATTGCTTCATTTGGAAACTATGGAATCCTCACCCCCCACGTGTGCTCCTTGACCGCTCCATGTGCCTGGATGGAGGCTGGGGAGGACAGGAGTGGGAAGGAGGCAGGAAAAGACCGGGATTTAAACCCTGCTCAGGGCCTGGATGGAATTCCTGGATGGAATTCCTGGATGGAATTCCTCCCGTGAGAAGCTGCCTGTTCACACCTTTAACGACTGGGCTTATTTAAGGATGGAGCACTTGGGTGACAGCAACTCCCTGTCCAGACTTAGCAACCAAAAACTGGAGGCATTATCCACTATCCCATGGGACATGATTATCCAAGGCTTCTGCCAAGTGTCTGTGTCCAGTAACTTGTTGACTTTCTACGGATGAAACCGGATGTGCAGGAACAGAAATAAGTCTTTTATCACATTGGGAAAACAGGCTTCGGTAAAAATCCCTGCCTGCCTCCCATGGTGGAATATATTTCCTTCCACTTCTGGTTTTCCACTGTTAAAGTGGCGGGTTTGGCTTCTTTGTTGAAGGAGCTGTGGGAGAAAAACGGTTCAGTTCTGTCCTGGTAGGATTTGAAACGAGGTTTTCTGCAACTTGCCGGAGCCGCCGAACTCCTGGATTTACAGAGGAACAGGAAAATCAATTGTTGGCACTTCCAACTCCCAGAATTTTACCCTGGGAAAATGGATTTTGCAGCTGAAACTGTTTGGCAAGCCAACCTAAACTTACAAATGGTTTTAATGGGGTGAGTTTGGGTTTTTTTTTATTCCAGTTTGTTTGTCCGCCCCACAAGAAATAATTTACTTTACGGAGTCGGACGCGGTGTCATCCTTGGAGATATAAAGGTTGTATCATTACCAAGCCTCACTCAACTCTTGTTTCCTTCCAGAACAGCCCCACAGCACCTACCTGGACTGCCTGGGCCGGGCTCTGAGGACTGGGAGCACCGAGGATGGGAAGATCCCGGGTTTTCCCCCATAACCACTGTCTGCTCGTGCTGCTCCTCGCCGAGCTGAGCCTCGCCCAGTACGAGCACTGGCCCTACCTCCCTGGCTACCCCGAGCCCCCTCCCCAGGAGTACCAGCCCCCCCCGAGAGCGGCTGACGTGCCCAAAATCCAGCTGAGGCTGGCGGGGCAGAAGAGGAAGCACAACGAGGGCAGGGTGGAGGTGTTCTACGGCGGCGAGTGGGGCACCGTCTGCGACGACGACTTCTCCATCCACGCCGCCCACGTGGTCTGCAGGGAGCTGGGCTACGTGGAGGCCGTGTCCTGGCTGCCCAGCTCCAAGTATGGCAAAGGAGAAGGTAAGGGCTTCAGCTGGGCCAGGGGAGGGTTAGGTGGGAGATCAGGAAGAATTTCTTTGCAGAGAGGGTGCTCAGCCATTGGAATGGGCCGCCCAGGGAAGGGGTGGATTCTCCATCCCTGGAGGTTTTTAAGGACAGACTGGATGTGGCATCAGTGCCATGGGCTGATCCACAGCAGTAGTGGATCAAGGGTTGGACTTGATGATCTCAGAGGTCCCTTCCAACCCAGCTGATTCTGTGATTCTATAAGGTGGCTCCAGAGTCACTGGGGGGGTGTCCCCGAGCTCCTGCTGACCCTCGGAGGGTCGGTTTGGTCGGAGGCATCGTGGGGTTTCTTCACGGTCTCGAGTCTTCGTGGTGGCATTTTGGGGCATAAAAAAGTGGTAGAAAGCTCTTAGGGAGCGCCCAAAGTTGGGGAAGGGTCTGGAGGGGCCATACTGAAGGCAGTTGGTCTGTTCAGCTGGAGAAGAGGAGACTGAGGGGGGACTCATCGGGGTGGGCAGCTCCGATCTCTGCTCGCTGTGAGCAGGGACAGCACCCAGGGAATGGCTGGAGCTGTGCCAGGGCAGGTCAGGTTGGATCTCAGGATAAAGGTTCTTCCCCCAGAGGCTGGTTGGGCACTGACCAGGCTCCCCAGGGCAGTGGGCACAGCCCCAAGGCTGCCAGAGCTGCAGGAGGGTTTGGATGATGCCTTCAGGGCCAGGTTTGGATGAGGGTGGGAGGCTCCTCTGCAGCTGCACCCGGGGCTGGTGATGCACAGATGGTTCTTTTCCCTCTTCACAATTCCACTGCCCTGCAGTGAGTGAAACAGGGCCTCTCAGCACTCCTTCCTCCTGTTCCTCTTTCCCTCTGAGCACTTCAGGCTCTGAACACACTGCCTGTGGGATGTTATCCAAACTTTTCTTTTCCCTGTCAGCCTCTCCAGAAAATCCTGCGCCGTGTTCTGCAGCACAGGCTGCTCTGTAACCCCAAAGGAGCCTGCACAGTTCATATCCTATATGGGATCATACTGGGAATAATCATTTTGGATGCTCTCAGGCTGTTCCTGCTGGGGGAAAGCTCTTCATCCCCACCCCAAATTGTGCATTACGGAACCATGGAATGGTTTGGCTTGGAAGGGACCTTAAAGATCATCCAGTTTTTCCATGGGCAGGGACACCTTCCACTAAACCAGGTTGCTCCAACCTGGCCTTTGTCTCTTCCAGGGATGGAGCAGCCACAGCTTCTCTGGGAATTCCATCCCAGCCTCTCCCCACCCTCCCAGGGAGGAATTCCTTCCCAATATCCCATCTAACCCCACCCTCTGGCAGTGGGAAGCCATTCCCTGTGTCCTGTCCCTCCTTGTCCATGTCCTTTCTTGCCCTTTGATGCCATACACGATGGATATGTGGGAAATTGCACCTCATTCCCAAACATGTGCTGAACAAAGACCTTGAAAGGGGAATATTTGTGTGTCACAGCAGCGAGTTCTTACAGCCACAAAAGTGATTTTTTTAAGTGAGTTTGAGAGAGAATAACTCTGAAATAACCCAGGAATAATAACACATCTTTAGAACAGGAGAGAACCCACCAGGTTTATTGGGGTTTGGTGTGTTGGCAGCTCACTGTTGACCTGCAGAGGACTTTTCCTGCCCACACTGGAGCCTGGCACTCTGGTGCATCCCACAGATGGATCTTTCCACTGCAGCAGGGGCTGAACGTGCTCTTTGGCTCTCATTTAGCACTTTACAGGGCTCACACCTCTCCCTTTGCCCATAAAAGAGCAAACAGGCCCCCCAGCAGGGACTGACTGACATGTGGAGCCTTGAATGTGCTCCCAACCTGTGGATTTTGGCTCTGGGAGGAGAGCAGGAGATTTCCAAGGGAGGAAAAGGCCGTGACATTATAAAACAAACCATCTTGGCCACAGGGAATGAGCGTTCCCTGAATCCCAGGGTAAATCCTGACACATCCAAACGTAGGTCTGGGTTTTCTGGGGGCTGTTCCCCTTTTCTGGGAGATCCACCAGCTGGTGATCCAGCTGGGATAAAGCTGGGACAACCAAGTGAAATAAATGGCTGCAGAATATCCCAGTGGCTCCCGGGATCAGGCAGCACTTTCATCCCAAGGACACATTACTCTGGAATCACTGAGACTGGAAAAAGACCTCTCAGATCACCCAGTCCAGACAAGCAGAGCATCTGCCACCCTAAAATATGGGAATTGCTTGTTGGCCTGTGATTCAGGGAGCAAATTCCCTGTGCCCAGCACGTTTCCAAGGGGGAAAACAGGCACTTGGAGGAAATGAATCTCGGAGGTGCCGTCGGGTTTTTGGCTCCTGGGGAAACACAACCTGAATTTCGGAGGTGACACCTGCTGGGTTTTGTCTGTTCATCTCAGAAGGGAGTTCCGAGGCACCTGACTTTTAAAAAGACATGTTTTATTTATATATATGTATAAATATGCATTGCACACACGCTTTTAGCTGGAGGGAAAATTGTAATTACAGGCTGGAAACTGGAGCTGGCATTTTATTTTCCAAGAACACCCCAACAGCAGCAGGATCCAATCACCAGGGGCTTGCTGGAGACGTGCAGAAATCTGCTTTTTTAGAAGCCGAGGCATTTAAGCGAACCTTGAGCTGCTCTTGCAGGAGGTTTAAGGAGGATTTGATGAGGAACGATGGAGAGAGAGAGGAGGGATGAGCTGGGGAGTGGGATTAGAGGGCAGTGTGATTATTTGGCTCATCAGCCAGAGCAGGGGACCTGGTGCCATGGGGTGCTCAGAGCTGTCCCCAGAGCAGGGCAGAGAGCCCCGGGAGCAGGATGGGAGGCTGGTGGATATTCCCACGTGGATAAGGGAAGGGGAAAGCTGCGGGGCAGAGCCCTTCCCACCCTTCCTCGGCTGCTTTCTCCGGGTTTATTCGGGCAGAAATCCCACTCAAAGCCCGGCAGCTTCCCCCGCTTCCAGCACAACCCACTTTTGCCCTCTTCGTGAGTCTCAGCTCTATTTTCTTTGCCCTTCAGGGAAAATTTGGCTGGACAATGTCCACTGTACTGGCAAGGAGAGCACCCTGGCAGCCTGTACTTCCAATGGCTGGGGAGTGAGTGACTGCAAACACACCGAGGACGTGGGAGTGGTCTGCAGTGAAAAGAGAATCCCTGGCTTCAAGTTTGACAACTCATTGATTAATCAAATAGAGGTAAACACGCTTAAAAACCGTGAGCTGCTGAGCCAGAGCCTCCTGGGGAACTGGGATGGCTGTGGCTTAGAAGTGTATCACCTATTTATTACCTATTTATCGCATATTTATCACCTATTTATCCCAGCTGAGCTGGGCGGTTAAAGCAAAGGTTTGAAAAGCAAAGGTTTGAAAAGCAAGGGTTTGAAAAGCAAAGGTTTGAAAAGCAAAGGTTTGAAAAGCAAAGGTTTGAAAAGCAAAGGTTTGAAAAGCAAAGGTTTGAAAAGCAAAGGTTTAAAAAG